TGTAATTTCTTTTTCATCTTTGGAAGTTGCATAATTTTATTCCCTTCTCATATGGAGTTTTTATTAGTTTACATATTTCCAATCAAAATAATTTTATTCAAGTAGAATTGTTGTCAAATAGAGGATTCTTCCCTTTCTTGTAATACATAGTAAAGGAAATCGGCATTACATATAATATATTTCCTTTCAAATCTAAAAGTTAACCACGCTTTGGTTTTTATTATATAAGCACTCCCATTATTCTTAGTATATGTTTATAAAATCATGTGAGAACTATCACTATTCTTAGTACATTAGTATAAATCTTCATATCAATATTGTAAATAAAAAAATGCAAGATCACATCTTAGAGGCTCAATTTAATCCGTACAATGCTTATCTTAATTCATGCATTACACTTTTTTTTTGTCTTCTAGAATTTGTATTTTTAATCACCTCTATACCATTTATAATCCTTAGAATCTTCTAGGTACACCTTACCCTTTTATTAGGATCAAACATATAAACATTTTGAGCCCTATATTTTGCATGTGATAGGTCTTACTTCCTACCATTCCATATAAAGTTGCGGGTGTTCTATATATTATGTAAATTTCAATACTTAGGACTTCCCCTAAATTCATTTCCAACGAATGAGTGATTTAACATATGAAATCATTGGTTTCATTTTCTCCTTTATTTTTTTCCTTTTTATTTCAACTCTTTACAACTATATTTAGTATAGCCCAACTTTCCATTATGTTTACATTGAACCCTTTCCTTATTTTTTTTTTATTTGGATTCTTGCTCTATTTATTCATTCCCTCATATTTTCCCTTTAATTTTTTTTATTTTCTTGAGGGATATCTTGAATTTCATTTGCAACCTTATTCTTGTTTGTTGTTGCTATTATTACTAGTGACATTTTCTTTTTGTTTTTTTTTTCAACTTCTAGGGCAATAAAGTAGGGGGATTTTGCATATTTAGTGTTGTCCTTGATAGGTTTAATGCTATTACTACGGGTTCCCAATGCAATAAATTATATATTTCAACTTGATAGGTTCAATGCTATTACTACGGGCAACAATGTGACTTTTTTTTTTTTTTGCGGAAAAGTACGGACAGGCTCAATGTAGATTTCTAAATTCCACTCTATATCTATAAACACTCAAAATGTCAAATACCCCCACTCTATGCACCAATGCCTGCCTGTGAATTGACATCAATTCCAAGCTAGCACCTACCCCAACTATACTTTGGGCCTAAAGATTTTGAACTTGGGCTAAACTGTCATTCTCCCTTTTTTTTTTGAGGGGGGGGGGGTAATGAATATGTCGATGCCTGCCCCACGAAAAGACATGTGAACATGTGATGCCCGCAAGGGCCCATGAGGGGTGGTCTTGGGGTATGACTTCCATGGCCATCTCTCGCTTGTTAGGGGTTGCTCTCGACACATTGTCTCGTGGCCTCCTAGCTAACAACCAACTCCGGGCDCGGATGGCGCCAAGGAATCTCCATGGAAGGGTGCATAATCCCAACATTGTTGGGTGKTTTGCCTCTATATTCAAAAAACGACTCTCGGCAATGGATATCTTGGCTCTCGCATCGATGAAGAACGTAGCGAAATGCGATACTTTGTGTGAATTGCAGAATCCCATGAACCATTGAGTCTTTGAACGCAAGTTGCACCCGAGGCCTTTGGGCCAAGGGCACGCCTGCCTGGGCGTCACGCATCGTTGCCCTTCCCTCCCTTGCCCCATTAGGTGTTGGAGAGTTGGTGCAGATGTTGGCCTCYCGTTCTGTTTTGGTGCGGTTGTTGGCCCCATCTTAGAGGTTACCCAAAAACAGTCCAAATTTCAATTGATGGATGATCACACGCCACTTTATGTTTGAGAGTAATTTTACTGAAAGAAAAGGAAAAAAAGCCCCTAAAAAAATTATCCTCACAAATACCTATTTAACAACTTATCAAAAAACCAATTCTTAATTGAGATTGCTTTAAACAAATGGTTTTTTGTAACCGAAGAAAAAGACAGATTTAAAGGTATCCAACATATACATCTCAATCAAGTACAGTATTTTTTGTGCTATTACAATGCTTTGACAAAAAAATCAGGATTATTAACGAGTAATGACAATATTTTGGAGAGCCAAAAAAGAACATATGTAACATGAATTAATTATTTCAACATTCAGTATCCACCCAAAAAGAACATATGAAATGTGAGTTAAATCAATATCCACCAAAAAAAATTCATATTCAAATCATAAAATACAATTATTTCAAGCAATGTGATTTGACCCCAAAATAGTGAGCAATTCAATCATAAACCCAGAGAAAGAAAAAAAAAAAAGTAAGACGGACCACACTTGGGTTGGAGAGAGACTAACACAAAATTTATTTTCTACAAACCAAATTACTTATTTTTGCTTTCCACCGTATTAATGAGTTTTGAAGTTGACTCTGATACCACTGAATGTTGGTGATTATACAATGTGAAAATCTAGAAATCCTTGCCAACTTTGGACATGGGGCCTAAATTTCTTTGACAACCCAAAGTGGAGGCAATGTTATACCACAACTAAAATTGTTAATAATCAAGATAAGAGATATTAAGAGAGAGTATTATTCTGAGAGAGAAAAATGTTCTTAGTAGTCCAAGTTCAAGTATACTCCTCAATACTCTGGCTTCTATTTATAGATCCTTTTATGTTGGATTTGTTCCAATAAATAGGAACTACCAACAAATTCCTCTAAACGGTTGGGATTAGTCAAAACAAATTTTATTTTATAGGAAAATAAATAATAATAATTGAAAATAGGTGTTGATTGTGTGTACATATTGGTCCATATAGAGCAAATATTTCATCCATCATGTGATTATTCCCGCCATTAGCCTACAAATAATTCTACATGTCGAGAATAATATCGAGGGCCATAGGCCACTCAGTCCAACAAACTATTAGTCTAACTGACCAAAAACACCATTTAGCTACGGATTCCAATTTATTACCACTCGCTAATTAGTAAGTTGATTCCAACCTGATAAGTGGACCAACTTTAAGCTTTGTAGGAGAGCTGATGATTCTTCTCAAAGGGCGTCCCTTCTCCTAAAAGTTTTAGAGATGCAATTTGGGCAGATTTGGGTTGGGCTTTTGTCAAAATTTGAATGAACCTCTGACCATAAGCAGTGAAAAATACTACCTAGGACCAATCTGTTATAGATCCCTACCCAAAGGAACTAAGAAGCTCAAAAGTTACAACCCTAATGATTTCTGAATTTGGGAAAAGTGCAATTGTAAATAGGCACAGTACAAATACAATGTTTATTTATTTGTATTTCACAGTACAAATAGTGAAATAAATTTTGCACTAAACATATTTATTTATATTTGCACTTCTTCTCAACTGGAGACTAAAAGCTAAAAGCATTTCACATTCTCGCCAAAAAAGCTATTTTAATTGTACTGGGCAGTCTTAATTTAAGTTGAGGCTTATCTGCATAGGAACCTCGTTTGCCATAAAATAAATAAATACTGTATATAAAATTTAATACTGTAGATATTTGTATTTTTTGCATTATTGCCAAAATAAGGCTAAGTGTGTGGTATAAGTAAATCTTCATTGTGACTTGTTGATGGGCTGCTAGCAATAGCAATAGTTTCTGAAACTTTCATTGACAGCCTATGACCCAATGGGCTACTTGCAGCTTGCAGGAACCCCATGTTCTTGTGCTCCGGATTTAAAGAGAAATGCGTTTGAAACAAATATTTCAGAGCAACCCATTTCAGGATTGGGTTTTCCCACGAAATCTGATTTACAATCATTTTTTCAAGGAAACCCGATTCAAAAAGATTTCCAAGACTTTTGGGCCGGCCCTAATAGTTTTAGTACATCTTCCACCCTATACGACCAGGATTTTTTGAGAGCAAAAATTCTTAGAACATGGAATCGAACCACACACGAGGAATATATCTTCCGTATATGTGTCTATGTTCTCCCTGTGTGGCTGGATGCCTATGATTGCATAGTATTGGTATGGGCGTCACCCCATACACACAACTTTACATATCACATGGGTATTTCAATTTTATACTTGATCTTCTCCCTACAAAAACTTTGCAATTTTGCATGCAGTCCAAAAGGATTGACATCCACTCACACATTTCCTTAAATTTTAACACACGTATATATAATAGAGATATTTTCAATGTGCAGGTGGATGCTTCTATTTCAGAGTGTATGCAGAGTTTTCTGTGATGGGAGTCCATTCTCTTTCTAGGTTAGGTATGGCGATTGCCTTAGTAGGATGAGGGGGGTGAGGGTTAATACTTAATAGGGATATCTTAGAGGCTGAAGTCCATGCCGTTTCCTGATCCAATTATATATTAAATATTATTTGCATTATTGCTCTTATTTTAAGTTAACCTTTTCTCATAAAACTTTAAATTAAGCCAAAAATTAGAGATTCAGCCTCTAATGAAACACTAGTCATGGAGGTTGACTTTCTCTCTTACGGGGACTTGGGGTTGGCCCCCATGGGGTTGATGGTCATGTTTCCATTTTTTTGTTATAGGGATTAGGGGTGCAGGTTGGGCTGGGTTGATAGTCAATCCAGACCCAACTTTTAGAATCAAACCCAATTTTCCCAATCTTAGCCCAATTTGCATTGTAATTTGATGCATTTGGATTGGTCAATAAATCCGTTTTAAATTATACAAATAGGTATCTATATATTTAAAATTTCGGATTTATCGATTCGGGATCGGGTTGGGCCCGCCCAAGTTGCACCCCAAATGGGAATAAGGGATGTATCCGTTTTATCAAAATTGGGACGTGGGCATGTGCCCTTGGCCTTGGGTTGGGACTTGGGAGTTCACTATTGAAAAGGAAAATTGTTAACCGGTTACCGGTAGGGGAAGTGAAAACAGTAAATCGGAAAACTTGAATGCATTTAAGCTCGTCTTCCCCGAAAAAAAACCCGCCAAAATACGCAGAGATCAAAAAACCGGAGGGAGCGGGTGGGAAGGGAAACTAGCCGCCAAAAAAGCCAAATGTGCCGATTTCTCTCATACGTTTTCCCTCCTCGCCACCGAGCAATAACCCGCCTCCACCTTCCTTATTTCATTTCTCCTCTGAATTTTCAAATACTCCCGCGGTTTTCTTCAGTCTTTAATGACCCTCTCCCTCCCTTACCTTCTCATGCTTTTCCCGCATCTTGTTTCCACTCTGCAACTGCTCTTTCTACCTCGGGTTTCCTCTCCCATTCTCCTCTCTTCTTTTCTCTCCGTCAAGGTCATGGGGAGGCAAACCAAAACAAAGAAATCAGAGAATTTAGGAACGGGGAAGGTCACTCCTGTCCAAGTTGCTTTCATCGTCGACCGCTACCTCTGCGACAACAACTATGCCCAAACACGTTCCATCTTTAGAACTGAAGCTTCGACCCTGATTTCCAAAACTCAGGTTCGAGAGGTACGTGGGTTTCTTTTTCCCCCTTTTTTTCCCATCTTTTTTTCTGGGTGATGTCTTTCCCTCTTGGGTTATTAATCTTAATAGCCTGTGTGGATTTGCAGGCGCCGAAGAGTTTGTTGAGTCTAGGGGCGATATTGGATGAATACATATGTTTGAAAGAGCAGAAGATGATGGTGGAACAGGAGAGGTGCCGGTTGGAGCAGGAGAAGTTCCGGGTGGAGAAGCTCTTGCAAGGTATGCAAGACGTGATGCAGGCATACAACTCCAGCGGAAGCATTTCTCCGCCTCCTTCTGCTCCGGCCACAAAATCAATGGCCCTGATTCCTCAATCAGACCAAAGTACTACCCCTTCCCCAACAGGTACATTTCGCTCTTCACACCATATATGCGCTGATTAGCTTGAATTTGATGGAAATTTATATCATTGATGAGGTATAGATCTACATCCATCTTAGGCTTCTTAGTCCCCCTCTCATTGCAATCTTCTGTGTGCACCAATTCGTTAAATGGCGCTTATTGCCTTCTATGGTAATGATGTTATAGAAATCTGGTATAGATCTAGATCTACATTCGTTTTCACCATCTGAAAAAAATATTTTCAAGTTTCGTCAAACGATGCCGATTGCTTTGTATTTTGCCACAGTAAAAGATGCTTCTTTTTTAATTCTCTTTCTTAGTTTGCATTTTTAGTAAGGGGTTTTAACCATGTGAATAAATAATTACAACCTTCACAGTCCATGCTTCTGATTATAACATAGATTGGTTTAGACTTGAGGCATTTTGAGTATCCATCCATTAAAAACTCCCATTAGAAGTTTACTGACCGGAGGTGGATCTGTTTTGTATGGGTGTGCATTGAAGAATTAATCCCTCAGCCTAACTCCAACCTCTAAGGCAATATGTCTCAAGTAGAACCCGATGAATTTTAATTCTAGGTTGTAAGTGCAATGCAAGTATTAGAACAGGATAGAGAAAACTTCTTGTTTCTCAAGCTAAACTGTTTTTTGGCTTTTGCTGGTCTCTGTACAGGCTATCCCATGTACAGCACCCCCATCACAAACTCGGCTCCCAGGCTAACCAATGTGATGACGGAGCCCACAAGTTTATCAACACCAGTTACAAACTTTCCTCCTAGAAACAAAAGAAAGGGTTCGAGACTTGTTTCTGATGTTCCTCCAACTGCAAAGAGATCATGCAGTCAAGTACCCAACAGGCTGTCACCAATTGGAGGTAATTGTCTTGCTATTGTGAAACAAATCATTCGTGATAATTTATCAATGCAAATTTTTTATATAATAGTTGCTCTTCTTTTTATTCCTTGCAGGTACTAACATTCCCCTGCTAGCAAATAACACAGCTAGAACCCAAGGGCCCATTAGTCGGACCATGAATCAGTCCTCACCCAATAATGTTCTTCAGAATGGGTCTCCAGTACAGGGTTCCTCTGTTGCAAAAAGCTTGTTCAAGCACCCCTCTCCAAGTGCCCCAACAAATTCACCTAGTCCCAAGACGCCTCCACAAGCACTATTGTCTCATATTGATAAAACTGTTTCTCCATTGGAGAGTTCTTCCCTTCTTAATTCTGCTGACAATAGTTCTGCCCAGGAGGTCATACCCACAATAGTTTCACCTGAGAAAGTTAATGGGAGTCCTTTCAAACATGTAGCTTATTATTCAGTGGAGAGGAACCATTACATTTCCTCTTCTCCCGTCAAAACAAATTTGAAGAGGCCGGGCAAGAGGGATCATGTAAAAGGGAGACTGGATTTTGATGGTTCTGATGTGTCAATGAGCTCTCAGGAACCAATGGCTGCTGAGATTTCTACCTCTGGAACCAATGGGGGAACGGATATCTTTGACATGGATATCCCTAATTTTGATATTTTCGGTGCAGATTTCTCCCTCTCGGAGCTGTTAGTTGATATTGATCTTGATTGTGAAGGAAATGCTTTTCCTTGTCAGTCAACCTTGGATGCTTCTATTGACACCACTTCAGGGTACCATTTCTTGATACATGGTTTTGCTTTTTGACCTACTTGCCTCCACCATGCCTACTTATGGTTCTAATTTTTATGAAATTTCTTTCAATACCCAGGTCGCCAAGCGAGTCACAAGATGGTGCTTTGGAGGCGGGTCATGTATTGTCTGAACTTTCGTCAACCGTGACAGAGGTTCTTTCTGAGAAAGACATTAACATACAAGGTCCGAGAGTTGTCTATTTTCTTTGTGGGCTTCTTTCGTTGATCATTCATCTTATATAATAAACCTCACTTTTTTTTTGTAATTTGTAAACAGGTCAAGATTCTCTCACATCAGTAAAATCCATAACAAAATGCATAAGAATTCTAAGTCCAGGTAATGGTTCAACATTCCTTTTAATCGCTTGCTTCATATGATTATCAAGGATTCAAATTGCTGATGTCTATTTCTCATTTTTTGAAACTGCAGTTAAAAGTAGAAGGAGCTCATTGTCTAATCAGGAGAATCTATTAAGTTGAAGTTGACTGGATTAACAATTTAGATGACTCACTGCAAAGGGTGTTACTATCTATTTTCTAACCAATATGCTAGACCATTCGTTATTACTTCTTTCTAGCAGCAACCACGCTTTCATTCTTTTTCACTCTTTTTTACTTTCCTGTCAAGAATCCCACCTTTGAGTGGTATGGAGCGTTTTCTTAAGGTCTCTGTACACAAACGCACTGTAAGCATTCTAACATGGTTACTTGCTGAATATAATTTGTTTTTCTCCCTTTCTCTACCTGTATACAATTTGGAGGGAGTTTGCAACTTAGAGCTTGGTTTGGGAGTGATTGGACTGATAAATATAAATTTCACTCAACATCCTACAAGAACATCAAGATCATATTGTTTTTGGGTTTGAGATATATGTAATAAATGGAATACCCATAGTTGGCACATAAGAAGTTTCATCTGAAACTTGTAACACCATAGCTTGGAAAATTTACCTAATTTTTGGCCCTTTTGGGGCTGTTTGTGCTGGTGAAAATTTTATTAGAATTAATACTGCAAATAACAGTCATGCTTGGTGAAATGGTAAAAAGTTAGGTTGAAAGTGAATATGGGATTATCTTGAATATCAATGTTGTGGTTGTTGGCATGACTGCATGATTAAATCTTGTTTGTCTACACTGGTTGCAGCCGTCAGCCTTTCTTATGGCCACCTGGTATCATGAGTCATGACAATCCATGATTTCAGTTCTCGATTGGCTTCAGTGGTTCAATTTCTTTTTGTATTCAAAACCAGAGATATTTATCGTTTAAAACTATTTTTCATGAGACATCCTCTACAACTACAAGAGATATTGTCAGGAGATGGCTAGAAGGGGTAACTGAAAACAGATTATATGGCGAGATTTGGTACAAACACAATATAAAAAGAAATTAAATGAAAATGAAGACAAATATAAGAAAACTCATCGATGCTTTTAAGTTTTTGTTAAAATCTTGGCCATATCTTCACAAGTTCTCTGGTCATCATATTCAATAACAAAACAAATCTCTCTTGGCTATAGAATTATCAAGCCAAGTACTTCTCTAGTTTCTCAACCTCTTCTACACTTCCAATATAGAGCGGAACGCGCTGATGAATCTGCAAAAGCAATCAAGATTACATTGCCATTAACTAAGTGCCTAGTGCAGTAAGCAAAAGAGACATCTGGTTCAGAAGCATAAAGCTCAAAAGCAGATATGGTTGGGCTTACCTCCACCGGTTGGATATCAAGTATTCTCTGATGGCCGTCTGAACCTTTGCCGCCGGCTTGTTCCACTAAATAGCTCATGGGTGCACACTCATACAAGAGCCTCAGCTTCCCATTCTTGCTCTTCTTGTCCCTGGGATACCCGTAAATTCCACCGTAGAGAAGTGTCCGGTGGAAATCTCCGACGAGGCTGCCGATGTATCGAGCAGAGTAGGGCTTGCCGCTAGGGCCCGGGTCTTTGAGGTCATCGATATACTTCTTCAATTTATCATCCCACAGCTGGTAGTTGCCTTCGTTGAAGGCATATATCTTACCGGATTTGGGTATCTGAATATTCTCTTGGGTTAAAACGAACTCCCCATACATGGGGTCCAACGTGAACGCGAACACTCCCTTCCCCATGGACAACACGAAGATCACCGAGCTCGAGTACATGCAGTACCCAGCTGCCAATAGGTTGCTGCCAGGTTGGCATACACTGACCACGCACCTCTCTTTCGCTTGGTCCAGCTGCGTCAGTGCCACGTGGCAAATGTTCATCATTAATTATCAAATAGCTAGCGGCGAGAGACCGGAGAACGAGAGAGAGAGAGAGAGCAATGTACCGTGGAGTCGTCATCGATGTCGGCGAGGCACTCGTCGTTGGGGCTGTAAATACCAAAGATGGAGCCGGTGGAAACAGCGGCGTCGATGTTGGAAGAGCCGTCGAGGGGGTCGAAGACAACAATGTAGTTGCCGGAGTAACTCTCTTCCACTGCAACCGGCACGTCCTCTTCCTCTGATGCTATGATCCCCGTTCGCCCGCTTGATCTCAAGCAATTAGAAAACACCTGCGTTATTTTTTTACCAAAAATTACTAGATAAACCGGTGGGTCCTACTCTGATAGTATGGGTTGATCAGCAGCAGTAATCAATCAACGGATAATCATCGTTCACTATTTCACAACGGCAAGATGAGAGAGTGCCTCAGAATGGGAGATAACCTAAGTGGGACCATTTTATGAGCAACACACCACTGTGTGCTTGCCACGTAAGTAATCCCCGTTACAGTGGCTCTATCCAAAATCCAAAAATGAATGTTCGTAAATCATGATTGAAGACGACGCATTGTACACCAGAATTAAAGAAAGATAAATAATGGAATTAGTTAATTGCAAGCGAAGTTCTGAGTCAAATCGGTTCCGAGTTCTGAATTCTGATAATGAGATTCATAGTAAGCTTGTTACCAACCTCGTTAGAGACGACGTCGAGCTTCTTTTGGTCTTCTCCTTGCACGTTAACGGCGCCTTGGACTCCTGTGAGGTTCGAAATGCTAGCTCTCTGTACAAGCGATGCGATTTGCTTGCAAGCCATAGAAATGCTTGAGAGAACAATCGTGAGCTCCGCGTCTATATGCCCTGACTGTTCTTGTTTCAACAACCAGCTCGTTAGAGTCTGAATCTCGAACCTACTTTTCTTCTTTGTCTCTGTAGCTGTTTCAGTTCCGACAGCCGCGCACCGGATGCCAGCGGTGTCACTACCGGAATTGCTCTGTCTTTTGCTGTTGGTGGGACATGAGAAGAGTGACTTAGCATCGGAGACGCATAGATGGAAAGAAGAGAGACGCGAGATAGAAGAAGAAGGAGAGCTTGAGAAGAGGAGCTGGGACGATGTTACTGGAACTGCAACCACCATGGCTTCCCAACGTTCTAACTCTTGAAGATCTTTTCAGTGTTCTGCAACTGCAGGGGCTCGTATGTGTGGCTGTTGCTGTGTGTGTTTCTCTCTCTTCTTCTGTGCTTTCTTTTTCCAATAAATTTTAGACTGGGTAAGGATTTAGGAAGTGTTTTAGGGGGAGAAGGGATGGATTATGAGGCTGCGGAGGATATTTGTGCAAATGGGTCCCAACTTATCCTCCATTCTCCCACCGTGCGTCCCATATTTGTGATCCTTGTTCACTTGGGGGGATTTATAAATTTATAGTGCTATTCATTTGTAAGGTGCAGACTGCAGAGGGACAGGGTGCGTACTGCGTAGCACGCGCAATATAGCCCAGGCCCCACGGTCCCAGACCGGCCAGATCTGAGTCTGAGCCTCTCAGCCCAATATCACATTGTTGCTGGTAACGGAAACATGATAAAACCTACATACTTCTTTGCTAGGGGTACGTGCAACTATATATGCAAGTCGAGCTGTGCATCCTGCGTTAGGTCGACTTCCCCTAATCCTAATCCTAACCCAATCCGAAGTTTTCGGGTTGGTTTATATTGGCCCGATTTTTCTACTTTTCTTGCATACATTTTCTAGCTTGAAGGGTCGTGGTTGAATCAGTTTTAGGATGTATAATTGTATAAACATCCATACAAATACATGCTCAGGCTCAGTTTGGAAATACTATAAATATAAATACGTACAATCTAAATACATACAAAATAATATAAAATATAAAGTTTTGTATTTTATATATTTCTATTTGTACTCCTTGTTTTAGGCTCAGTTTGGAAGGAGTACAAATATAAATATGTAGAGTGCAAAACCTTATATTTAGTATTATTTTATATGTATTTCTATGTATATATATGTATTTATATTCTTTGTCAGTTTGGTAAGAGTACAAATACAAATATGTTGTAAAGTGTAAAACCTTAGGCTCAGTTTGGAAGGAGTACAAATGCAAATATGTAGAGTGCAAAACCTTATATTTTGTATGTATTTGTACTGTACATATTTGCATTTGTACACTTTCCAAACTGAGCATTATACTTTCTATGTATTTGCACTATACATATTTATATGTAACTATTTATACTCTTTCCTAATTGAGCCTTAAATACATATTTATATAATAATTATAAATACAAACATGAAGTTAAATTAAGTTCGGTTTGGATCATGTTGGCCAAGTAGGGGTGTCAACGGTATTCGAAAATCCAAAATTGAATTCAATATCTGATGTAATCGGCTCGAATTCGAATGATACAAACTGTTGAATTTGCATATATGCTTTGTACCAATTAAATAATCGAACTAAGTTCGAATACATGTTGATTCGCTTTGATAACTATCCAAATTCAATTATTATAATAATATAATATAAAAGAAAGATACTTGTCTTAAAAGTTAGAACCTTAGTCAAGTGTCTTTAACTTTTTATATTATATATTATTATATACTCTTATTTTAATATGAAAAATAAAAAAAAAGAACTAATTGCTTCTGCCACGATAAGACCACTTGGTTTAGACTTATTTTCATTAATTGACAGGTGATAAAAGTGCATTAATTACTTCAACCTACTCCGTCTCATCTCCCCCAATTTCCTTCATATCTCTCACTTTTTCATTCCCCTGCATTGACTTCCTCCCTGGCGTTTGGTTTTGCTGATTTTCCTAGAAGGGATTTCAAAAAAAAAAAAAATAAATAAAAAAAAGAAAAGAAATGAATAGCGCATATTGAAAGCAAAGATCATGTATCAATGAAACAAAAAATAGTTTCAAAGTAAATGAATAGCACAATTGCAGCTATCATCCATTTGTTTTATGATAAACAAAAAAAAATGTTGTAGTCTCTCCCTCTTCTCCTCTTTCTCTCCCTCTCTCCCTCCCTCCCTCTCTTGCTTTCTCCTTGTTCTTTGTCCGTCTTCTTCGTTGTTTGTTCCAGATTTTATTAGTTTTTTTGTTTTTCTTTTCTATTTTTTCCCTTGTTCATTCATCTTCTTCGTTTAAAGAAACAATGTATATCCTTTGTTCATTCAAAGAAAACAAGCTAAGACATTCTCCATAATTCATTCAAAGGGAACAAGAGGGCTCATTCTTGGATTTCAAGAATTAGGATGTAATCCATTGATTTCGAATTAATCGAATATTCAATTATTCGATTATCTAGTCGAATTCGAATTCAGTTTTTAATTTTTAATATCCGTCGAATTCGAATTCGAATAATCAATTTTATAATCAAATATGATGTGATTCGATTCGAATTCGCTCTGTTTACAGGCCTATGGTCAAGGCCTCCGCCCTAATCCAACATGAAGTTAAGTCAGGTTCATACTTTTTAACTATAATCCTAACCAAACTTCAACACAACCGACCCTTTTGCATTAGACTTGGATTGGGTTCAAGGTAACACGACCCAAGTTACAACACTATCCAGTTGCATATAAATTTTCATACTTAGTTTAATAATATGGTAAAACCAGAGAAAACATGTTCCCTCTGCCAGGTAACTAAGTAATTGCTTTATAACCAGAATATTAGACAGTAATATCTTTTGTTTGGGCATCATTAGTTATGATTATCAATAGTAATTATTAAAATTAATAATTTCTATTTTATTTTGCTTATGGATTTTACTTCACCACTATTCTTTTGCCCTTTGACTTTACATCTGCTATGATGTTGTGACTTCATGATAAATGTCATAAAAATGTTTAATTTTTGAAACAAAATGATTTAGGCACACCACATGTGGGCAACTTAATTTGATATGGACACACCATGGGTGATTGAATTTGATACCAAATTTTGGATTTCATTGCATCCCATTGTGTGCAATTGTGCATGGGTTATTGATGGAAACATGAGGAAGGCTTTATTATTTGTGGTAGGGTTGCAAACAGATGGTAAATAGACCTAAATTTAATTCATTGATATTTGAAATCGAATAAGATCTTATATATTTTAAAATGTAGTTGTCCATGCCAACCTATTCTCTATTGCTTGCTTACAATTGTTTAATTTCCCTTTAAGGCCCTGTTTGAGTTATTTATCCGAGTAAGTGCATTTACCTATGTTCTTTTATTTCCCAGGTAAATAAAAAAATGACCATTTTATCCATAAAAATCTATTATTAAAAGGAACAATTTTGTCACATTTAAGTATTGGCAACTATCCCACTAGGTGGGAATTACTTATCCACTTGGGAGATGGGTATCACTAATACAGTGATACCTAGGGAAAATAAACTTTCCATTAACTCTACATAAATCTGAAAAGAGAACATGGGAACCAAAATCCCATTGACCAGCTTTCCTCCTTCTCAAAATCCTAAAAAAGAATGGACCTTTATTATAAACCCTATAATCACTCCCCTCTGAGGAACAACAGAACTTTCATAGTAAAATGGTTGGAGTATATATTTCTAGAATATTTGAAAATGAAAATAAAATAAAAAACAACCTAGTGACTAGTGAGGTGTACGTAAGCATGCTATTACAATACTGAGGAAGACAATGAGTATATCCCCTGTTTGGGGCGTTTTATGAGAGCTAGAGTGCGAATTGACATCTCCAAAGCCCTAGTGGTGGGTATACAGGAAACTACTCCTACAGGCATACAAATGTGGTTTCCCTACCAGTATGAGCGACTTCCGATTTTTTGCTACAGGTGTGGAGTTCTGGGTCATGGTGAATCAAAGTGCAGTAGAGTTTTGGAGGAGCATTTTCTAGATGAACTCACATCCAGACTAGCGAACCAACGCATGGGTATGGAAAGTAATAGGACTGTTTATGGGCACTGGCTACGAGCGACAAATCTCCCCTTGGAGTTCAAGTTTACAAACATTATAGTTAGCACAGTAAGTGTGAGTTTCTCCAAGGAATTCAGTGCAAAGGGGGAGCCCTCGGAGCGTGGAGGAAGAAAGAGGATCGACTTTCCTGCCGGAACCCAGAATGATGAAGGGGCGGCAGTGAAGACTCAGAGAGACGTTCCAACCCAGAATAATTTCTTGGAAAATGCTCTTTTAGCTTCCAAAACTGAAGTCAGATATGAGGTGGCCGGAGATATGCTTAACGTGCTGCTCTCTCCGGTGAAGGGTGATTGGAGTCAGAGTAGGAGGGAGGACTGGCAGGGCGGTGGGCTCAAGGATCAACAGGAGATGGAGAACACAGTTGCCTTTTTTGTGAAAAGCTCCGCTACCAACCCAAAAGAGACTAGGTCCTTCTCCATTTCAGGAACGACCTCTTCGATAAAACTTTCTAAAATCACTGAAGCCAAAAATATGCAAGAAGTGTTAACTTGCACGTCAGAACAAAATCAGAAAGGGGTTCCAAGAAATGTCAGGAAGGAGTTATTTTTGAATAAGCTTGTTAAAGGAAAAAATAAGGTCAGCGCGTCAAATCCGGATATAGCCTTTTAGAGAAAGAGAAAGCACATGAGTATCTGTATTTTAGAACAGGTGGAGGCAGAGTTACAAACCACAGTAAAGAAGAGTAAGTCTGAACTCGGGTGGGACCCGTTTAATGGGTCGGGTTTGGACCCAAATTTGAATCCAATACTGGGTCCGAAAGTTAATGATTTTCTGGGTCTGAATCTTTTAGAAAAGCAGAGGTTTACTGTAAGTTCGAAACTGCTAGACTAGAGCCCCTTTTCAAAACTGGGGAAGCAAGAAACTTTGCCTACTGAAATAGGCTCTTCTCTGTTTAGCAAGGAAAGGCTGGCTCTTCCAAAAGACATCATCATGGACGACTTGACTGAGAAAACTGTGGAGGTGCCAACCTCTGAAGCTACCCAAGAAGCAGAGCTCACTGATATTGACATTAGTGATGAGGTATGTCTCCCATCCTCTTGTTATATTGACTCATTGCATGACTGTTATACTTTGAATGGGGAATCTTTTCACTAGCACCACACTTTTAAACCCATGGATGATTTTATGTAAATGTTCTCACATGAAAGAAACCAGAGAAGACAAAAAACCACCAAACCTTGTACAAAAATGTTCGGACTCCTTGGCAAAAATCTGGGATGTACAAGAAGAATTAAAAAATAGCTACATTCGAGTAGAGCTTCCTCATCTTTTCAAGGGGAAAGAGGCAATTTGGTTGGTCATCTTGCAAGTCATTATAGAGTCAGACAAGGTGGAATAAAAACAAAAAAGATACCCTTTTTCCAAAATCAAAAGTGTATGACCTCATCCAGCCATGAAGATAATATCAGTTATGCCCTACTGTTAGGAAAGAAGCATGGTGCCTATCCTTTGATCTTGAATAAGTAGATTTGGGAGGCTGTCCCGCAACAACCCCCAAGATGCCAATGAAAATATATAGCTGGAATTGTCAAAGGGTGGGGTCCCCCTCGATAATTTTGAATTGCCTCAAGACCCTTTGAGAGGAAAAAATAAACTTCTGCTTCTTAATTGAAACGAAGACTTCCCTTTTGAACTATAGGAGAAGACTTCAGAGGTTATGGGATTGGAATTGCTGGGGGTAGATTCTGTTGGAAAAAAAGGAGGTTTGGCTCTTTTTTGGGAAAAGGACATAAATCTTACAATACTTGCAGCTGACCCTTATTACATCCACACCAAAATTCAGGATGATATAATTGGAGCTGCTCTTTCCTCTATGTAGAACCAAAATTTAGTAGGAGAAACTTCTTCATTGAGAAATGGAGAAAACTCTCTTTTTTTCCCAAGGGCCGTGGCTGTGTGTTGGGGATTTAAATATGTATTTTAGTGCTTCAAACAAAGGAGGCAAACCAGTAAGAATGTTTACTATTCTCAAAAACAGAAATTTCTTAACGGAGTGTGGGCTTGAGATAGTGGACTGTAGTGGGCCATTTTTTACCTGGTCAAACAAAAGACATGGAAACCTCAATATCAGGGCAAAATTGGATTGGGCAGTTTCAAATGCAAGATGAAGGCTCACTTTTGGTAATGTAAGTGTCCAAATATTGCCGTCCCCAGGTTCTAATCATTTCCCTCTAGTTGTAGATACAGATGCTCCACCCCCAAAGAGATGGAAGCCTTTCCGGTTTGTAGAAGCATGGTCTACTCATAGTGATTGTGAGTCTTTTGTTATGATTAATTGGAATTCAGTTTTCTCAGGATCCAGTCGATTTAAATTTAGAGAAAAATGCAGATTTCTAAAGTTGAATTAAAAAAAAATGGAACAAAGAGGTTTTTGGGTGCATCCACGCCAAAATAAATGATTGTAGGAAAGTCTTGGAAGCTAAGATGAATGTTAAAAATGAGAATTTCAATGCTGCAGCTGTGGAGAATTTAGAAAATAAGTTGGAGAAGTGGCAAAAAAGAGAGGAGATGCTATAGGCTTAAAAATCAAGACAGAATTGGGTTTAGTTGGGGGATAGAAATACCAAATTTTTTTTACCTACACACTCTAAAGAGAAGAGCTAAAAACATAATTAATAAGATTAAAGATGGTGAAGGAAATTGGGTAGAAGGGGATGACAGGATATCGACAGTCCTAATGGAGCATTTCAAAGACATTTACAAGTCTACAAACCCCCAAACTACAAATATTAGTAGAGTCTTGGAAGCCTATACCAACCCAATTACAGAGGAAATGAGGAATAATCTAGAAATAGAGGTAAGTGAGGAAGAGATTGAAGTTTCTTTATTTCAAATGGAGCCCAGGAAAGCTCTAGGGCTGGATGTTCTTCCTAACTTTTTCTACTAAAATTATTGGGGAATACTTAAGGAAGATGTAATCAATGCGGTTAAATGTTTCTTCCAATCCGAGTATCTCTTAAGAGAATTGAACTCCACCTACATTACCCTAGTCCCTATGGTCAAGAACCCAGAATGTGCAGCTCATCTTTGACCTATTAGTCTCTGTAATACAACCTATAAGATCATAGCAAAAGTGTTGGTAAATAGGTTGAAGCCTTTTATTGGCTCAATCATTAGCCCAAACCAAAGGCAATATTTTTACTCAGAGAGCTCAATGCAAAATGAATGCCTGGAATGAGAAGTACCTAAGTCAAGCAGGGAAGGCAACTTTGTTGAAATCTGTGGTAGCAACTATCCCAACTTATGCCATGTCCTGTTTTCTAATCCCCCCAAAAGAATTAGTAGAGTGTTAAGTAAACTTCAAAGAACCTTCTGGTGGGGAAAGAATGAAAGAAATAGAAACAAAATTCATTGGGTGGATTAGGAAACAATTATAAGAAACAAACATGATGGGTGCTTAGGATTTAGGGATCCCTACTATTTTAACCTTGCTCTCCTAACAAAGCTTGCATGGAGAATTGCTTCAGGTGAAAATTGCCTGTGGGCCTACATCAAAAATAAAAATTTTCTAAGGGATGGTCTACCCTCATCTGGATCCTGGGGTTGGAAAAGCATTTTAGTGGGAAAGAAGGTTATACAAAATGGACCTGTGTGGTTAGTCAACAAAGCCAATAACCTTTCAATTTGGGGTGACAATTGGCTTCCATAGGTAGATGGTTTCAAGTTAATGGGCCCTAAACCAGGGTCAGGATCTCCTACCTTGGTAAGTGAATTAATTGACAATAATACTAGAGCATGGAAAAAAGATTTAGTAAAGGAGGTAGTGGGGGACTTCTATGCAAGCAGAATTCTGAATCTGAATATGGCGAGAGGGGAGTGAGAGGATGTGCTAGCCTGGACTTCAGACTCAGAAGGAAGGTTTACAGTTAGGTCAGCTTACTATGTAGCAAAACATCTTACTGAGTCTGAGAATTCTAGGAGTGATCAGGCTTCCAACAGTACCCTTTGGAAAATCCCCATGGAGTCTAAAGTCAAATTTTTTCTATGGAAATGTAGCAGAGATGCAATTCCTGTTAGGGCTTTCTTAGCAAAGAAGATAGTTAATAATGACAGTTGTGAAATCTGTGGTGCAACAATAGAAACTGTCTTCCATGCACTTTGTCAGTGTGAACTAGCTAAGAAAACATGGTTAGGTAGTATTTTCATTTCTAGAATGGCCTCCTACCCTCCTGATATTACTTTTAAAGAACGGCTCCAAAGCTGGCTTCAATCCTGTGCCTAAGTGAAGGAGGATGCCATCTCTCTCCTTCAAAATACAACATATATTTTGTGGTTCTTATGGAAAGCAAGAAATTCTTATCTGTTTGATAACACTAACAACTCTCCACATGTGGTTTTGATGAATGTCCACAGGCAATTGCAACTCATGATTGGGTCTTCGAAGAGCTACTCAGAAGGTACAAATGTATCTGAAGATATAGAAGCACCAACACTTTTTTGGCAACCTCCTCCGGTAAGACAAGTAAAAGTAAATGTTGATGGAGGTTTCAAGCACAACAATAAGGGGAGTTTTGGAGCGGTGATTAGAGATTCAAATGTTTTGGTTTTGGCAGCTTGTTTTGGCCCTATTATTGTATCTTCAGCCATCCAAGCAGAAGCAATCACAATGAGACAAGGCTTGGATCTAGTTAGACTTGCAGGTTTCAACATTTGTGTGGTGGAATCTGACTGTAGAGAACTTATATCAGCTGTCAGTAAAAAAGTTCTCCCCAGACCAATAGAGATTTATTCCCTCCTAAAAGACATTGATATAGTGCTTTGGTCTCTTTGAATGTTTCATTCTCCTCTGTTAACATGAACAGTAATGGACTGGCTCATCTCCTAGCGCAGAGAGGCGCACGGGACCGTGGCTTATTTCTATTTGATTGCCCGGAATGGCTCTCAATTTTGGCTGGATCTGAGCCTGCTTAGTCCTCTGTTTCCTGCTTTGTTTTTTTTTTTTTTTCTTTTCGTTTTCTGTTCTGGTTGCATGTTTATTGCACTCTGTTTCTGTCTTCTGTTCTGCTATATTCAGACTCTGTATTGTTATTCTGTGTTGTTTGGAATGAAAAGGTCCTATTTTCCTATAAAAAAAAAGCTAAGGGTGTCAATGGACCAGTTTTGGATTGGACCCTGTCCAGTCCAAAATCAATTTGGACGAATTGGATGGACCAATAAGACATTAGATTAGGCCAATCCGATCCAAAATATTTATTAGATTGGATTGGACCTGGTCTGTCCATAATAAATTTATATAGAATTGGGTCGAATTAAACCAATATCTGGTCCATTGATTTTAGATAAGAATACATATCAATGGACCGAATTTGGGTTGAAATCAATCTAAATCAAAACGAATTTGAACAATTTAGATGGTCCAAACATTAAATTGGGCCGATCCAAAATGATCCATTTATAATGGACTCACATTGGACCAGTCCAATTGACACCCCTAGCTTCAGCTATCAGATGCCGAGATGCGGCCTTGTCACCCTGTGACCTGTTGCAACTATTATATTACTATTGCTCATAAACTCCGTCATAGAGCCCATCAGTATCTAAAACTGTGCATTAATTTGCCTCAAGGAGGTAATTACCCAATTGGCATACAGAACCAGAATAAAATCACGGGTAAAATAGTCCTATATCAACCCAATGAACCATGAAATCATAAAGAAATAAAAAATACAGAAAAGTATGATTATTACATTAAAATTACAAAAAATTAGAAAAATATGGAAAATATACAACTGTTAGGTGCTTAAGAGTTTATTATTTAATCCAACAGCCCAACAAACCTGAAAAATTCATCAACATTGACGTCCATGTGTGAAGACAGTCAAGTTGATTTGGAGAGAGAGAGAGCCAGAATAGTAAATTTTCAATAACTTCTGCTTAGAATTTTATTAGAAATAATGGTAAAGATACAGTCTTCCTCCTAAAATAACCAATTTCATGTGAAAATTTATGCATGGATACCTGTCCTTAGATGAGTTGGTCTCAAACCGTGGAATCTCGTTGGCCAGGCCTCCTAATGCAGTTGTTGTGGTTGCCGTCGCATTGGAAAATGAGTCTTTCAACTATTTTTCCCACCCAATATATGGTGGTCAAATTAAGGTTATATATTCTTTGGTGGAACCTTTGAAAAAATATTCTATGACCGTTATGTTGCTTGCATTACTCCTGTTATCCTTTGGAATATGGTTAGAGAGATGCAAATGTTTCAACGAAGGTAAAGGGGTTTTTTACATTTGTTCTCGTTTAGGAAGGTTTAGTTTGGAAGGAATACAAATACAAATATGTAAAATGCAAAACCTTGTATGTTATATTATTTTATATGTATTTATACTCTATATATTTAGGAAAAGGCAGAAAAACTTATACAAGATTTGTAAATGTTTTCCTTCGTTTTCGTTCTTTCTCCTACATTTTTCTTCAAAACTAAACACAACCTTAGTGAATTGGATCAGAGACATTTGCTCTCTTACAATTTGTCTTAATTCAAAAAACAGAGACCCTCTCTTCCTTCAGGTTCTGAATATTCCTTCAAAAACTTCTCAAAAAATGAGAAGATTAGATGCATTACTTGTCTTTATATTTTCCTATCACAATTTCTATGGTACCACTACTTCGGTGCAAGCGGAGCTTCGAGAAATTATGTCTCGACTCTCGATCGTGCTATCTTGGACATCAGAGTGGATGTGTAAGCACTAAGCACGGTTGTTGAAATCATGTTGGGTCATCTCTCTCATCCTTGGAAATACTACCTACATATTGCGTACGTATTGCATAGTGTAAGCAGCATGGCACAAAGGGTTGGGGTCCCAAAGTCCTAGGAATGGCAGTCTGGAGAGGTGGAGCTCTGAATAGGTGGGAGAGGGATACTCAAGACTGGGAGAGGGAATCTAGGTCTCCTCCGCACAAATGGGTCTTGGGTCCCCCATTTGAAAATGAGACCCTTGCGTATATTGCTTCTCCCTTCTAGAATGTTCTTGGTGCTAAGTAGGTAAGTGGGTGTAGATGGCTCTTGATCAAATGACTTGGCCTACTGTCATGGTTGGACCGGGCCAACTCAATTTGGGCTAAGTCGGGTCAGCTGAATTTATGGAGTGCGGGTGGCTCTATGCATGGGGTTTTGCAGGCCTATACTCTTCCTCGTAGAATCAAGATATATAATTTTTTTTTGTCGGCAAACAAAGCAAAGAAAATCTTCATTGAAGAATATTTCTGAAAACATTTACATCCAAGCCTTGAGGCGGTAGTTGATATTGCAGATTTATTTCCTCCTTGCAGACTTATATAAGCTAGTCTGTGAGCTAGATCGTTCTAATTTCTGTTTACATGTATATGATATAGCATATGTGGAAGTATTTAATCAAGTCCAGAATTTCATCCCTGTATAGCTTATCTCTCCAAGAGTAATGCTTGGAGGGATGATTTAAAAGATGAACTATATACATAGCATCACATCGAATTTGGAGGCACTTAGATATGCATTTCTTTTGCTGCTTTGATTCCCCAAATTAAGGCCAGCCATTTTGCTTCAGTAGGAGTTTGGGCTGAGGTTTCTTGAGCTCTGTGCTGCTATTACTTTGCATGAATGTATGATTAAGACATAACTAGTAGCTGATCTAAGTGTACTAGGCATGTACGATTCATTAGTATATAGAGTGGTCTCTTCTGAGTTTTGTTGTGTTTGCCTTTGGAGAATGTTAGTAAAATTTTAAGGTGATCACCCTACACCCTTGTAAAGTTTGGGGTTAAAAAAAAGTACAATTGTACAAGTCCACAACTCCACAGGGCATATTTGTCCAAGGCTACATTTGGTTTGAAGGAAAAGATAGTGAAAGGAAGAAAAAGATAAGGAAATTTATACAAGATTTATAAAGGTTTTTCTATATTTCCTTTCCTTCCCCTACTTTTGCTTTCAAGCCTAACATAACCCAAATGTCCGGTCCAAAGCCCAAAAGAGTTTCTTTTTTTTTTTTTTTTGTTTCGAAAGATAAAGCCCAGAAGAGTTAAGCATGCGAAATAGTTTGTGAAAATATATTAGAAACCTTGTATTGATCCAAATCCTTACTAACCAACTGGTTGGATTGCTTATCCAAAAAAAATAAAAAAAATAAAGGTAGTTGGAATAATTCTTTTCTGACGAGAAACTTGAGCTAAGCTCAAAGTTCGATCCCTTCTAAACCCAGATCAAATATCGCAAACTGGGTATCAACTGTCATAAACCTGGTATAACCATTCTTACATAAATACATATATTACATGGTGAAGATAAAGTGTGTATGGACATTTCGTGATAGGCATTTATCAAAAAGACACCATGTCATTATCAAATCAGCATTTAACCCATCATGGTGATCCGTACGCATAAATACTTACAAAAAACTGGGTTTGATTTATGTGAGTGCATGCCTACCATTGGAGGGAGCTTCATTTACAAAGCTCTACCAAATACATACAAAGGGAATGGCCCAAACAAGTTGAAGATAATCATATAAGGTTTGAATTTTTTTTCTCCTCTTGTGATACTTTGGGCCTAAGGGGGCATTCTTTTTCTTGATTTTGAGATGGGGGGAAAGTTGGTCAATGAGATTTTAATTCCCATTGACCAAAAATCCCATGTTCTTTCTTCAGATTTATGTGGGGATCCGGGAAAGTTTATTTTCCTGGGTATCCCATCTTCTAGGTGGGTAAATAACTTTCCCACCTTAGGGAAAAGTTGTCAACACTTAAAAAGGACAAAAAATACCCCTATAATAATGAATTTTTACGGATAAAATAATCATTCCCTTACTTACATGGGAAATAAAAGAACATGGATAAATACACTTATCCGTATAAATCTTTCTTGGGAAACAATTATCTGATAAATGCATTTACCCAGCTAAATAACTAAAAATGTGAACAGGGCCTAATATTAGTACAAATTATTGCAAAGGATTGCAGGGTATAGACTATGGAGAGAAGCTTAGAAACTAATAATGTAGTACTCTTATTCTCTGGGTTTAATTTCCTAGCTGATAAAAACCATTTATTTTGTTTAAAAAAAATGTTTACAGCAGTACATGCCACCATGCCCTTGGATATGTCTGTATGCATGCAACTTACAAGCGTAGCTCCTATCTTTATTCCATGCCATATCCATTGTTGAATTATATTTGAAACAGCTCCTATCTTTTATTAAAAAAAAATGCGGTATTGGAGTTTGAGATACATCTTTACAATCTAATCCTTATGTTGTTAAGGAGAGCAGCACTTCCAGTAGGGTGGGGATGGCTGCATAAATTGATTAATAGGATGTAAATTTTCCCGAGTGAAAAAGAATTTGCATATGGGAATGGATTTAATTTGTTGGATTGTTTGGTGAGTTTCCAGGAATTAATGATACGAGAGTCCTCTAAATGGCCATTTACTTTGGAATTCAAAAGGAGAAAATTTTTGTCTGAAAACATGTTGGCATAGTGGTCAAAATAGACCTATTTTACAAGGTTGGGCAAAACTCCAATACAAAACTGGGTATAGGGCATTACCAAATTGAGTGGACGAAACCCCAACACAGGGATTTAATTGATTGGACACAATTCCAATATTACAGACTTGTGCATAGGGATGAAATCGACAGGACATAGAACTCAGTGGGTTGCTTATCTGATGGATGGTCTGGACTACAGAAGAGATCCCTTTAGTCTTGTGGGAAAAATGGGTGGAGTACTGTGTATCAGTGTATGAAAGCCCACTAGACCTGAATATATACTTTTATCCGTAATTAATCCGTAGGACACGTAGCTATTCTCTGATTTTAAGCGGCAAGTTTGGAATATAGAAAAGGGAGCAGCAACATAAAGAGTGTAATACAGTTAAAAGATGGGGCTTTAATCGGCTTTAACAAAAGCCAAATATGAAAACATAGAAAAGGAGGGTTCTTGCAGGATATGAATGCCGTGTGACAAGTGAAAGTGAAAGGTTTTATTCTCCCGTTTTAGGAGTATTTGCCTATTTGGTTTGATAGAAAATAAGAGAAAAACATTAGATTTAGGGAAAGCTAAGAACCAAACATAGCCTAAATATAGAGTTAAGAGTGCATGGCAAACTTAACTCATACTGCTAAAAATAAAATTTTTGAGCTAATTACTTTTAACTAATTTTCTCAATGAACCATTTGTTTGTGCTCTTTTTTATTATTTAAGGGTGAGATTGGGGTTAGACCGATCGACCGGACCCAGATTATGTATTAATTAACGAATGAAAATCTTTGATCTGCAATACACCCATTTTAATTAGTTTCTCCATTGATTGAAACTGGAGACCAGTCACGAGAAGCCTGATACAGAAATGGAGGTGACTGTTGAAATTTACTGAAATCATGCAACAATGTCATCATCATCTTCAACTTCAACCTCATTCATTTCGGTGCCTAGCTATGACGTGATGGGTCTCCGATGGACCTCCCAAAGAGTGGGCAACCATTAATTTCATCGGCCCACCATGACTTTGATTTAAGCCACAAAAATAATAATCATGAACCCCAGCAGGCTTATAAAATATGTCTTTTCTTTTAGACATTTTTCTGGTTCAAAAGAGAATAGACCGGTCTAGCTAGACTTTGCTTAATGTTTGGTTTTGGAAACTTTCTAGAAGGTAGAAAGCAAAGAACAAACATGAAACGAACCAAATTAGTGGCGAAGCCGGCAAACAAATTAAATTTCCATGGCGCTTCTTCTGTTAATTACTTAACACTAATTAATGATCATTTTGATTGACCTTTGTAGTAGTCTCTGCAATCCCTTTCTCTTTATCTCTCTCCCTCTCTCTGTGGCTCTGCATCTTCCCTTCTCCTCCAGTTTTACTTCCTGGAAAGACTGATCTAATCTTACCTATATATATTAGGTTTTGCTGATGATGTTAACTAACAACCAAAAGAATTTACCAAACAAAGCTTGATGGGGCAAAACGATTTTTCAGCCGTTTCTTAATTTATTCAAAAGATGACAGTTGACCCACCTAAGTCATCGTTTTGAATTGTAAGGTAGAAAGTAGAAACTAGAAAGCTTCGCTTCGTAAGTTCTTGGAAACCGATGATGATCCGTGTCGTTGGTTATGACATTAGCAGAATAAAGAGATTTTAAAGGGTTGATGTATATTGATGCGCCTAATCATCATAGCAAGGTAAGCTGATCAAAGACGTAAGAAAGTTCGTTTGGAGCACCAAATCATGTATTGAAAGCTTCAAATCAAATTAACGGGCTTCCAAACACGTCTTTGTTTGATTCGACGACGACTATAGCTCAATTTAGAAACCGCGTGAGACAAGCAACCAAAACATGCGACTTGGCTTCGTACACAGTACACGTTTTGTTTGTTCCTGAAATCTCTTCCTCTATATAAACTCCTCCCTTGTTGCATTCCTTCATTCATTCATCCACCTAAACAAAGAAAACATAAAAAGAAAGAGAAGAGAAGAATTTTGCTCAACTCATGGCTCCTTCCACCACAATAACGATCTTATTGCCTCTCTTCTTTTCTCTCTCCGTCTCCCTCCATGGAGTTCTTGGTATATATCTTGGAATGCAAACGTTTCTTCGTTGATGCTTGAGATTTCTTCTTCTATCATTTCTGTTATGAATTGTTTTTCTTCCTGGTTGTTTATGAATTGATAATGGTTCGTTTGTTTAGGTGAGATTATATGTGAGAATTTGCCCAAAGACCTCTGCGCCTTCTCCATCGCATCCTCGGGACAGAGATGCCTGTTGGAGACCTACCTGACGGATGGAACCACGGAATACCAGTGCAGGACATCTGATGTGATCGTGGAGAGGATGACTGAATGGATTGAGTCCGACGAGTGCGTCCGGGCATGTGGGGTTGATAGGAACTCCGTCGGGATTTCGTCAGATGCCCTGCTCGAGCCGCAGTTCACCGCCAAGCTCTGCTCCCCTGCCTGTTACCAGAACTGCCCCAACATCGTAGACCTCTACTTTAACTTGGCTGCAGGAGAAGGTAACAGATGTTTCCTATTTCCTAATCGCACGTTTAATCATTAATCTAGATATATATAGTAATTCTAGTTACCTCCACCCGAAGAAAAGAGGCCATAAGAAGCAGAAAGTAAAGTAAATTATTTTGCAGACCAAACAACACATTTGATTTATAGTTTCATAATTATAGCAATGGCTGACTGCACCTTGAGCAACCCAATATTGCCTGGTTTCTTCCATTAAGAGAAATACTAAAATCATGAAGAGTTTAGCTTGCTTCTTCTGGTATCATTTCTAGTAAGCTTTAGATTTTTCTTTTTCCTTCTTTCTTTGGAGAGAGAGAGAGAGAGAATATAAGATGCATCAGCGTCACCATGCATCCAGATTTGTAGCTGAAACTTTGCTTTAAATTTAATCTGGGACAGGTGCATTTTTGCCGGATCTATGCATGGCACAGAGGACCAACCCACACCGTGCGATGATTGAGCTTCTGAGCAATGGGGCGGCTGCTGGTCCCATCGCCAGTGAAACCACCGCCCCCGCCACCACCACCACCACCTCTGCGCATTTCGCTGCTGCTCCTTCTCCAGCTTTGGTGTAATCAAAATGAAAAATTGTTTGTTGTTTTAGACAGTTTCTCATTTCTCATTTTCTCTTTGAGGTCCATGTACATGAACAAGACTGAGGAATAATTGAGTAGCAAGCAATCTAGTGACAGGTCTTGGGTTCATTTGTTTGGGCTGGGCCTGGACTGAGACTTCTTGAGTTCTTTCTGTGGACTTCGTGTTCATCATTTTTTCCTGGGCGGATCTGGCGTGATTATATATATTATATATCACAAAATAATATTTGTACTTCACGCTTTTATATCATTAGCACACTTGTTAATTTTTATATCCAAAAGGCTCCTCTAGCTAGGCATTTACTGTTTTTTATTTTAATAATTTTCAAAATAAAAAGACGGTAAAATCAGAATTTGACTGAGTAGGTCATGGACCAAGGCCGCTTGGGCTGAAATCCATTATAATTTTGGCAGGCTGGGCATTTCACTACGGTCGGAGAATTCCGTCTTATCATAAGACGACGTCATCGTGGTTTGGCATTTGAGAATCCGCAAAGTGTTCATCACTTCATATTTTAGAATCTGATCTTTGGGGCCACCGGATCACACATGAAATAAATTATTAACCTTTTCATGAGTGAAGGCCCACACTCGATAATACCAAAATTTACAAATAAACGTATCGAATTTAGTATTAGCCTAATCCCATGTAATGTTCCAATTTCGCTGGACGGCTTCGAACAGAAGGGCACTTACCCGTTTGGGAGGGCTTTAGGGACGTTCCGAGCTGTACCCCACATAGAAACGTCATAAGCTGCATTCCATGAAAAGCCGAAAACTTTTAAAGTTTTTCTAATGCCACTTGAGTAATTAAGTGTGTGTTTGGTTCTGTGCACGTTTATAAGATAAATGTTTATCTACTTTAAATGTTTTTTTGCTTTTATTATTTGGTTAGTCATTTTATGGGTGTTTTAAGAAATAGCCCATAAAGGCACTTTTCACCATGGTTTTTAAAAACGAACTGGTAACGACCAGCCCGTTCTGACAAAAAAAAATCGGAAAAGGGTCAAAACCGTTCGAACGGTTTACTGACCAAAATCAACAATTTTGAGGGAAAAAGCAGTTTTGGAGGAAAATGAAACTGGTCAGGTGACTGATTCCTGGTTTTTCCAGTCCGACCGTCCGGTCTGGTTCGGTTTTGAAAACAATGCTTTCCACCTCAACAAAGATAAACAACAACTCATCTTTTGGCATTTCAAGAAATGGCCACACGGATGATTCGGTGTAGCACATTTCCTTTATATTTAGGTGTCATTGAATCAATCCAATGGTCCAAACTACACTTCCTTGCATAGTTTGAGATCTAATGGTTGATTTTTGCTTGAAAATGACATCCAACGATCAAAATAACTGATATATAGGGGATGCATGTGTGGGTGGCCTTATTTGTTACATTCAAAAAAAGGGAAATTGTCTAAAACTCACCATGAGTTTTCATCATTTCTCTTAAACTCACAACTTTTCAAAATGTCTAAAACTCACCATGTCAAGTTAGTGATCCGGTGAGTTTTGACATTTTGAAAAGTTGTGGTGAGTAAAAGAAATGCTGAACACTCATGGTGAGTTTTAGACAATTTCCCCAAAAAAATTCCCATCAACCTAGCATTTTAACATTATTAATCAATCTAAGGCATTCCTCTTGCACTAATGGTATCAAACAGTTACTACCCGTTTTAAACCCTATTAACGCATGGACATTTATAGTCCATTTCATGTCAATCCATATGAGGTCGACACTTAGTATATGTTTGATTCCGTTTACGTTTATTGATGGTGCCCCATCAGCAAATGCCTTATTAATTGCATTTGTATGTATCGAAGTTTGCAAAGTTCTGTGCGCCTCTCCCGTTTCAAAAAACTTCATTTTGGAGCTTCCTGAAATGGGTGGGCGTTTATTAGCATTTTGCTGATGTGGTGCCTAATGATGCCTGTGTCATAAATGCCCTCTATGTGCCTAATGGCGCGTGGTTCACCTATCTGGTTGACAATATAAATTGGCTATTCCATACCTTCAAATGAATCCAAAAGTGGCCTTGTCTTAAGTTCTTCATTGAGTGTTCTTTAAGAAGCATCCGCACATGTATATAAATTTCTGTGTGCATGTTTAGATGCACATGAATACATATGTATACATGTAGATTTCCATGAGATTGATGGAATCGCCCATGGTAAAAAGACAAGAAAAGATGCAATTACATGCTACTGTTATAACTTGATCAAGAACTACCTTATACTTTGTCTAAAATTCACAACCCATACCCAATCCTAGTGGAAATAAGAGAAGATTCAAATAGAAAAGGGTATTTTGAAATGCTATTCACAAGTAGGGATGATTTCCACCTGCAAGCACTTCAACTACACTATGAAAACAAAAAAGCAAATCTTATAAATATAAGCACTTCAATTACACCTGCAAGTACTTCAACTACACTATAAAAACAAAAAAGCAAATCTTATAAATATAAGCACTTCAATTACACCTGCAAGCACTTCATATTCTGGTGTTTATGCATATAAAATATAAGCTTACATCATTATAATGTTCTTGTTAGTGACCAATGTTAAATGAGTTCCTCAAATTTTGAATGAGTGGATTCGTGGACATTATTCAGCTTTTTCCTTAACTTATAGAGATTGATATTTTTTCTAGAACTGATTTGCTCCTGGTACTAAAACTTGTACGCTTTCAATTGGTTTCAATACATTGAAGTTATCCCACTTTCTAGAGTTAGCATTTAAGCAAAAACACATGAATGTGCATTTTATTGATTAAATTATTAAAGTTACCTCTACTACCCCTAATCAATCTACCTTTCCATCTAAACCTAATATTCTTTTAGTAAAAGTTCAAATCAGAATGAATCCTCTAAACCTAATATTCTTTTAGGCTTAAGAATTAAAAGTTCAAATTAGACTATAAATTATCTAAAACTAATGCTCATCTTCCATTCATTTGTCTCTCCTAGATGCATCCAAGAAAAATAAGAAATAATCAAGGGGGGGGGGGGAGCCTAATAAAGATGTCAAACACCCATTTTATGATGTAATGGAATAATCAAACAAGGCTTAAATGATTTAATACTACTAAACATCACTAGTATATTTTCCATACTAACATGTTTGCACTGCTAGTTACATATGAACAGGTATGATAAGTTTTCATATATAAGCCTATCCTAAGTATCGGTACATAGCCACATTCTAATAAGTTTGCACTGCTAGGAAAATTCTATATTTATCATTTTACTTCGTAACCTTGAATACCATAACAATCATGCATACCCATGCCCAAAATATAAAGCACAGGATATTACAACCACAACAAGCTAACATGGCAATGTTACTATTAGTTGATTGTGGTTGAACAATAGATGATGAACGACGTTGTTTTGGGGAAGCCCTATCCAGTGTTGGGTATCCCCCAAAGTATTGATTTATGCATATGAAAGATCTCCTATAGTCCCCTCTCATTGGACAATGAAACAATCACTGTCCATCTAGTCATGTATACTGTCATTTTTCCCTTTCTGCATGAGCACATCAACAAAAAACATCCCTTTGCCATCAGTCTCTACATATAAGTTTAGACAACAATTGTAAAGACAAGTATTTTAGTTAATTTGAGTTGTAAATTAACATATGAATGAATCATCACAAAATATATATGTCTTCCACCATAAACTCAAGTCATTTTATCAAATCATTCTATTGCATAGTAAATGTATTTGAGCATAGTGGATTGAACACAATTCACCCTAAACTACATTTAAACTTGGTGTGTCATCTGGTATTTCTCCCATAATTCATTGGCAATCTAGTCCCATAATGTATTATGCTACGATTTGCTACCTGAAGTGGTGTGTCTGGAAGCGTGTCATTAATCATTTCGGAACATCAGTTTCGATATTTATAAATTTTTTAATTTTCAAAATAACTACAAAATGCAGTTAGTGGTGGGAAATGGGTTGTATCCACAGGGAAGCGAGGGAAAAATTGTTACGTATTTCAATCCGAACAAAATAACAAGATTTGAGATTGTAGAAACACAAAATTTAATTAACTGAATTGGAATCCATTAAAATAAAATTCTTACAATGCTGAAAGTAAAAATTGTAGAAAAATAAATAAATAACAAAAATAAAAAAACTAAATAAAAATCTACAACTTGGTCAGAGGTAGCAGTCTCTGAATCTATCATTTGATCCTCAAACTCCTTGAGTTGGGCCTTCCGTCTTACTTACCGAATTTCAGATCTATAAAAAGGAAGACAAAAATTAAATTTGATAAAAATAAATTGCAGAAATAAAATAAAAACTAGAAATTAAAGAATGGAAAATAAAAACATGCGTAAAAAGTAAATCTAAAACTATGAGAAACTGGTTGGGATCCGAATCCAGAGGTAGCAGTAGTGGCTAGGCGAACTGCAAGCCAGAACCCCTAAAAGAACAACCTTCCGTCTTACTTGGGGGCAGAATCCAACCTAAAAGAAAATAAAGAAAACAAAAGGGATGGTTGATCAAATCCAATGGCGGTAGTTGTAGATTGGTTGGACTACTTGCAAGAACCCCTCTTGACAAGATCCGGGCGTCCTTCCCTTCTACAACTCTTGAACTCCTTAAGAAACCTTAGCATTGTGAAATGGGTGAATCGAACAACCCCTTCTCCAGGGCCCTTGGGGTCCTTTTTATAGAGAAGGGTGGACAAAACTGGGATTAGAGAGAAAGAGAGGGGTGACAGCTGGGTTTTTGCAGAGATATGGGTGCCCTAAGGTTGAGAATGGAGGGTTAGGATTGTTATAAGGAGATCCTAAGGCTGAAAAGAAAAGGAGAGGGCACCCAATATTATGTAGGGCTGAGATTTGGGCACCTAGAATGGAGAAATGTGATTGGTTGGTGTGATGTGGCACCCTAAGGTGATTGGTTGAGGTTTAAGGAGTGAGGTGTAAGGTTAGGATGTTGTATAGGGAGAGATCTAAGGGTATGAGGGGCTGCTAAGGCTTGGATGGTTGAGATTATCGGTTAGGAGAGAGTGGAGGGTGGATATTTGATAGCCTAGGGTGGCTAAGGTTTGTTAGAGGTGAAAAGAATGACTGGGGAGGCGTCATAGGGTTTGCTAAGGAGAGGGGAGTATGCTAATACAATAGGAGGGGCGCCTATCTGGGTTTGACAGATAGGAGGCGCCCTCCTATGCTCAGTTTTTCATAGAAACATTCCCTCTCTCAGTTGGACTTCACACTAGCTTCCAAAAAATTGCATTTCAGCCCTAAAACTTC